CTATTCAACAACTCAATAAAAACTCACCCAGTCATGAACGGTATAGCTGATCAGGTAGGCACGACGACTCGCAACCCCACTCCCCTGTTCTTCCACATAGAGGGTGCAAGGGGGGTATCCCCCTTCAAGATTCACAAAAATAATGGTTTGTAACAGTTTTAGAGCCAATATTATTCTCAGCGCACTAAAAAAACGTTAAAATAGAGCCGAAAAATAGTCTAAACTGGGTTTGGACCTTTTCTATAAATTTAACAGTGGCGTTTTCACCCTGGCAACCCAGTCAGCTGTTTTTCTTTTTTACTCGACTTCCGTTTTTGCTTCCGATTTGGTGAATAAATTTCTATGGAGTTAGGCGGGGACCATTACATGTAATTCTCCCGAAGAATGTCCAACCCTCCCCCAAAATAATGATTTGCGATTTCTGTGACATGAGTGTTTGATGTTTACAAGTGTGTGACGAAATGATCATCTCCTTTCAACATTGTGGATTTTAGTTTAGTTTTAGTAGAGGCTTTACGGCGCTCGCAACTGCATAAGGTCATTGAGCGCCAGAAGATTAGAGATGTTACAAGAGAGTAAGAAACATAAAAAGGAGAAGGGGAGATAAGGACGATAGATGTTTGATAGGAAAGAAGAAGCAAACCACACCACAGCTCCCGCCAACCACCCACTTGTGGATTTGGGGTGTGACGAGATACTAGATGACTGTGGCGTCTTGAATACACCTGTGTGACGAAATGACTGGTACCCAGCAGAGATGAACATGAGTCACCATGGATTCTGCCCTTGGTGCGTCGCCGCAATATCCTTGTCCCCGAGCACCGGGATCTCAGGCGGAGACCTCTCTATATATTCCTTTTCGCTTTTGTTTGCTTCTTGAGCATACTTGTTTCACAGACCTAAAAAAAAACCGTTCGTTTTGTGCAGTAGAGTTACTTTAGAACACGAACAACAGTTCGACTTGACTTTTGCTCACAGGGTAGTCACTATGTCTGGCAAGAGAACATGGACTATTAAGGTTCTTAGAATGACAGACTCTCGGCGTCATGGGAAGGTTTTATTGAAGAGTAATTTAGATGTTTGCATAACTACCCAGGGTATCACTTAGCCCGCTGTTCCGCTACCTTAGAATTTTAAAAAGGTTTATCTGGCATTTTGCGCCTTTTTTGCGTTATTAAGATCATGAGGTCAGACTATTAATGTTCTTTCTGCTCTATCAGAATCATACGAATATTCGGAGATGTTATCCAGATATATTACGGAGAATTGCATTCGCAAAAGCTTGATTGATATGTTTTAAAACTCAAAATATTTTACAAATGAGCAGATATAATAGAATTGAGCAATTTTAGTGTACATCTGTGTACAATGTGCTTCGCCATCTCGCGAGTCGCGAGGCGTGATGGCGTCAGTCGAGCGTAATCTCTGGGTTGATACACGAATCTGTGTGTGAGAGTGAGAGAGCGCTCGCGAGCGTGTGCGCGTGTATGTGTGTGTGTGTGTGTGTGTGTGTGTGTGTGTGTGT